AGGAAGTATCTCATGTTTTATTCACTTTCATGCTATGCAATTATTATTATTATTATGTCCTTTAATGAATTTATGCCCATATTGGCCATATGCAATGCATTTATTTGTCTGTTATCTTCAACCCCACACATATCCTCAATTTATTTTTATTTTTATTTTTATTATTATATTCTTGGTTTCCTAATTACTGTAACTATTTATCTATTAGTTTTTCAATTAGTTATTTTTATTAACTAATCCTCAAGGCTACTTTAATTCTAGGGTTTTTCAAAGTAAGAGTCATATTATAAAACGGATTCTGAGTCATTATCCATATATAGTTTGCTTGTTCTTTTCAATAAAACAGACAAAATATGTATAATCTAAAGTAATTTAGTACCATAATCTTCTTCATGAGAAGTTGATCACGTTACGGTAAAAATAAAAAATAAAAATAAAAAATAAAAATAAAAAACAATTTGAGGACTATATACAAGTCATTAAAATGTGTGATTATAATTAACTGTTGATGTTTAAGATTTGATTGATTTCTTCACCCATGAAATCTCTGATGAGCTGGTAGGCTGTAAACAAGAAAAGGACCAATTTAATTTAGGTGTTTTTTTGCAAATAATATTAACTTTAATTAGTCAAAAAGCTAATTAAAGTAAAGATTATTGCATTTATTATCAGCCATAATAGCTTTTGTACGTAATACTTTTTAATTTATTTTTTCTCCTTCACCAGTACTCCACCTTCGAAATTATGAGGCACAATTGTTAAAAGAAAATAATAAAACAAATCGAAATTTTATAATTATATGAATGAATACGAAAAATGTAGAGAAGCATCAAGATCACATGACCAGAACTCACGTCGGCACTTCTTTTTCCCCATTTATTTTAATGTTAGTGCTTAGTGTAATATAATACTTACAACTAGCTGGTAGTTATTTTTCTAAGTGCTTACAATAACGATGGATGTAATAATATTTACTTGATTCAAAATCCAGAAGATCTTTTTTTATATATATAATATATAATTAATTAATGGGGATATTCAAAGTATAAAAAAATTGTGTCCACTATTGATACATATATTTGTCAGGTACGTAAACATATACTACAATCGATAATATCAATGAGATAAATCCACAGTCGACGTTCAAGCAACGGTTGCAAATTTTGATAATGACATTTAGTATACAAATTTAAATTGGAATCCGCGTTAAATATGTCACTCTAGCAAATTAGCAATAATGTCTCGGTTTAATTTTTTTTTATTTTTTTTTTTATTTTCTTCTGCTATGTCTAATTGGGCCGACCCAATAGACCCACAATTCATTCATTTACTAGTCTACGAGCTCAATTTAAAAGACCATCATAACCCTCAAATAATGTTTGAGCCCAACAAAGTATACTCAATCCAATCAATTACATATAAACCCAAGGCTCGTCCGAAAGTAACTGGGGTTGATTCGGGGGAAACCCCTCCAACGCTCAAGTCAGATGTACGGATCGTGTAGATAGTGGAGAGAATGTGATCTCTAGAATAAAGATGAATAATGGAACGTACGACGTACCTTAACAAATAAGCTAAAACCTCTATTTATACGTAGATGATTGTGTTGTATTTACTTTGTTGGGCCCAAGCCTTATGTGAAGGTGTTTGACTTTCGTATAATAGTCTTTTAAATTGGGCCCGTGGACTAGTAAATGAATAACTTGTCTATTGGATCGGTCCAGTATGTCGAAGTTTTATAATTTATGAAATCGAATTTTCGAGATGGAAATTTACTAAAACAATATTAGAAATAAAATAGTTATAGAAACGTGTGGAATTTGGCAAATATGCAATTAAAGCTACTTTTCTAGTGGGACCAAAATGTACAATTAGTGAAAGAAAAGAAACAACGAAACGAAGCGTGACAGACCCAAAAACAACCCAAGCAGCGGGACCCAATCTAAACCGTCCAAAAAATTAAAGATTAGATATAATCCAGGAGGTTAACTACTCTTAACCATAACTTTGACTTTAACCAAACCACCCAACCACGGTTAACCAAACGTCCTCAATTAACGGCCGTTTCCTTTTTCTATTACTTGGTGGGAAATCAATGCTCCATAACCTGTCACTTGCCCCTACTCCACGTGGCTGAAGTAGCGTTCCACAACGTGACACGTGGACCTTTCCTATCGACGCGGGGGTGTGACCAGTGATGGGCTATGGCCTTAGCTGCTCCATTTTTTATTCACTGGGGCCCCAGCTATGGGCCTATTTTATTTTATTTTATTTATTTATTTATTTTAATTAGCTAGTCTGTCAGCGTCAACCGCCAGCTGTCTTTCCGTTTGTCAGGTTTCTCTTCGGTGGTTCCGGTCAGCTGCGATTACTTTGAGGTGACCCATCAGGTCAACCCCGAGTATATCTTATTCAATTTTAGTCTTGAACATTTCTTAATTTTGAGCAATATATTGTTAATTTTTGGAGTAATATGTTGTTGATTATTTTATTTTCCAATATAGTTCAATTTTATAATAATTAACAACATACTCGATCAACCCTGGAAGTTTCCTGACAAGTGACAACCAACCTGCCAGAAAATTCTAAATTCCTCTTTTTAATTTTAATATCTCAATCATCACAAGATAAATAGTAAAACATTTATTTATATTAATTAAATTAGTATTAAAGGTAATTATTTTTTGAATTTTAAAGGTGTTTAGATTTGTTACCATTAACGGCAGGTAAAAGATGGAAACACCATTCCGTTTCAATGGCACGGATTTTCCGTTTACTTTGGTCTAAACAGGTCCCACACGGAGTAGTGGCTCACACTTAAGCGGGTCCCACAAGAATCATCTCCTCTATAAGTAAAGGCCTAGCCCTCACCGTTCTTCGTTGTTCTGCAACTACAGGCAATAATCATCTCCCTTTCTTTCTCTCCTGTTTCCTACAGAACAAAATAGAAATTTCTCGTGTTCCGCCTCCTTCTCGCACACTGCGCTTCCCCTCCAATTTCACACTCCAAAATCCGAATTCAATATCTCGTTCATCTGTTGATTTTTTCTCCCTGAATCTCGAGGTAAGCTTGTGATTTTCCAATTTTACTTGTTTTTTTGATTGATTTTTGTTTTATCTGTTAATTTCGCTTATTTCATTTTTGCATTATGAACCGTTATATTTTTCTGGAAGATTATGTTTCGAGTTCTGCTTTTGCGCAGATCACTTCAATTTTTTTTTTAAGTAGGAATTTACTGTTGCTGTTGTGTTTTACAGCGAAAAGGAAATGGAGCAGTTTCAGAATCACGAGCTGGAATACGTGGTTGACGAGTACTACGACATCAGTGATGTTGAGGACGACGACGTTTCACCGCGGAGCGGAAACGGTTCCGTTGATGATGACTCTGTGAACTCCGACTTTGATGATGACTTTGAAGTGGTAATCAAGTTTGTTTTAAATTGCTAGACGATTTTTAATATCTTACGATTTACTTTGTGGAAACGGTGGTAATTTTGTTGTTTAGGTTTTCTGAATTGAAATATTTTTGTTGAATAAACAGAGCAAGCCGAAAACCGATACGTCGGCTTTAGAAGCCAGGAATGGCAAGGATATACAGGGTATTCCATGGGAGAGACTTAATTTCACAAGAGAGAAGTATCGTGAATCCCGATTGAAGCAATACAAGAATTATGAGAATCTCTCTAGCTCTCGTGAAGATCTTGAGAAGGTATTTGATTTTGTTGTTAAACATTAATTGCGTTTATTGCACGTTTTTATGCTGGGTCTATCGCTTACATTTTCTATTTTTCGGTTCAGGAATGCAAAGAAGTGGAGAAGGGCCACAACTTCTACGATTTTCAGTTCAATACCAGGCTTGTCAAATCAACGATTGTGCATTTTCAGGTAGACAATTCAACCTGAGTTTTCATTTCGGTACTGCTAACAGATCGCATCGTGCATCATCTTTTTTTCGTGGTGGTCCAATTGTGGATGCATTTGAATGGTTTTCCAACATTATTTATTGTGTTTTCTTTTCGATGCATTAACATCTTCTATTGTCAAACCGGAACAAATATTTTGGGTATACCTGCGCTGATATCTACTCCTATTTTAAGCTAATGCATTTTGGTAGACTTGGCAATGTTTGATGCATCCATCCATTTCATTTTGGCAGTTTTCTTTTCCAAGAATCTCCATCTAAATATGGCTTTAATAGTTGATAGAATGGTTAATTTTGTCTTTTTTCTTAAAACTGTTAATTCCTTTGTATTTCTTCATCCATGGGGCACAATAAACGTAGTTTTTGCAGATGCCATGCTTGTGTATTGATCTTTGATCGCTTAATAACTACTATGCATCTCTAGCTGAGCCCCTAACCATTACTAGAAGGTATGGAGTTTATGGATGTCTTATGTTAAGAGCTTTTTGTTTCCTCATTTATTTTAACTGACTCGGTTTAGTTTCTGTAGCACTAACTTTCGCTGCCGAATGCCAAAAACAAATTGTGTTGGCAATTTATTTTGCAACCATTCTTGTTTCAGTCTCTTCACTTTTTCGATTATGTCGGTATTGTCCATAGCAAGATCGTCATTCATTGATAATCTATCGCCTGAATGGTAGAGATTTTGGTATATTTTACTTTGTTTTCCTTCGTAGTTAAATATATTTATTGGTTTTCTTCTCAAATTTATTGGGAGCAATTTTTTCTTTTCTTTGGCATTACCTTTTCCTAGAAGGTAACATTAGCTTGTACCTGAATAGCTTGAATTTTAATTAGAGATATTAATTGTGCCCAGTTCAAGTAATATTGAGCTGGGCTTGTATTCACAGAATCCTTTTTGTGCAGATCGTTAACACATGCCAAGAGTCGCATGAATTATTATTTAGCAAGGTCTGTTTTTGGAAGATACAAAGTTCAATGTTTCAGACTATCAAAACTACTGGGTTGTTTGGAGTATGACAATGAAAGCGTTGTGGTGAGCATATAACTTAGCCGTACAGAGATTAATAAACTAGCAGTGATATAGGATACCTAACCATCTTCATAAGTTTCTTCCTGTTCTTGTTTGTGAGATACCATAGGACATATTCTTACATTATTCTAATATATAATGTTGCAGTAGAGCAATAACATAGTTCACTAGTGTGCAGAGCAAGTGAATAAGGCTATAAATAGTTGCCATATATTACTTGCGCTTAATTATATATAACAACAGTTCTCCCATTCTTCCTTCCAATTGTGCATGGTTTTTCTATGCCTGATTGGAAGATTGAAGATGTGCATCTCAATTACATTGCTATTGATGAATATCGTTCTTTAGTTGTTATATCGTTCTTAATGTCTAGGGAATCTATTAGACCGATTCACTAACTGTTTAGAGTGAGAGATTTTTCGAAGCTAACATAATGTCTTACCTTATTCAGTCAGCACGGTGCTGGTTGTTAGCATGAGGTTATTCATTAGAATAATCTGAACTAGTTGAAGTATCAGTTTCTATATGCTTCTGTTTTCATTTGAAGATAGATTATGTGAGCGGTTTTAAATATATACCTGTTTGCTTCCTTGTAATTTAACCCATGGCGTGGGACTGCTATGTTATCTTTATTTCAGCATTAGAAGCAGCACTGCAGTTTTATCTGAGCAGCTGGCGGCTAAGGGATCATTTCTATATGGTATGATAGGGGATTATATGAGCATTAATAGGCATAGTATTGAATCTGTTTTCATCAGGGGTTAAGTTATACCTTAGTTATTGTGCCATTAAATAGCTTGATTTAAATGCATAGCACAGTACTGGCATATATGTTTGTATGCCTTGTTTGCTTTGATTGATTTACCGCTTGATTATTTATTTATTTTATTTTTTTTGGTGTTTTTGCTACGCATCTTTTTGTAGCTAACTCTAGTTTTGTAGATCATTAACACTGATGTGCAAAGAACTAAGTTTGACTATAGAACATAGTGTCCTTTTTTTTTTTTCTTTTTTTTTTTTTTTTTCTCTTTTTAATTTTTTAATTTTTTGAGTGTGTGTATTCTAACATCTAATAACAAGTGCCCTGACTTTTGCCTTCAGTTGTTGGTTTCTCTCTAAAAGCTCATCATTTGGTTGTATTCAGCATTGGAGTGCATACATATCATTTCTTCATGTGTCAATTGTCGAGCACTCTGGTCCCCATATTCCTTCTCTACTGACTATAGCTGCTTGCATTCTGCTTTTTCTTGGTTTTCTCTTATTAAGTTTTTGATTCTAACCTTTTGTGTTACCATCATTTCTATGTCGCCGCAAGTGTATTGTGATGAGAAGTTGCACTCTTTGGCTGGGAATGAAACTAACATTAGTTTTCAAGTCTTGTGTTGTCTTAAGGTGTCAGTTCAACAAACAACATGTTGCTTTCATTAATCTGTGTCCTTTTTCTTGTGATGGTTTATCCAACAGTGAGTAATATCCTGCTTTTCTTTCCATTTGAATCTTTTATCTCTTCTTTTTGTAATTTTTTTTTCTCTTGCTCTTGTTTGATCCTGATCGAGTCGTCAGTAGTATGTTTTTGTGCGACCTCCTTTTAGTTTAGATTAATTGCCCTGGCTGGTAACTGTATTATTTTGACTTATTTGAATTCTGAACTTGGTTGAAAGCTTATGTTTTGTGTTAATAGTTTTGATCCTTTTTCTCTGTACTTCTTTTTTTTTTTTTTTTTTTTCTTCTGCCTACCTTACCATTTCCTGGCATAATTGAATGAGTGAGAGTCATAGCAATGTTGAGTCTTGATGCAACCACATACATGCATTGATTAATGTTTTTTAGCATCCATACTTTATTTCCCCTTGTTTTGTTGCCATACCATCTTATCTGTCAATACTCAATCATGACTTTTTGCTGGATAATATAGTTGTTTTCCCATAGTAACAAGCACTTTAACTGGAAATTTTCACCTTTCAGCTGAGGAATCTTCTATGGGCGACCTCGAAACATGATGTATACCTGATGCAAAACTACTCTGTGATGCATTGGTCCTCACTGCTTAGGAGGGGCAAAGAAGTACTCAATGTGGCTAAACCTATCATACCTACCCTGGTATTCCCTTATTCCAACTAATTAATATTGTAAGACTTGTATGTAATTGAATATACTGAGTGTCTAACGTAATTTCATATGTGCAGAAATATCCAGGGTGTTCAGCTGAGCCTCTTTCAAGGGTTCAGATAAGCACTATGAGTGTGAAGGACAATCTCATGGTGGCTGGTGGTTTTCAAGGAGAGCTTATCTGCAAGGTATCTTGCTTCGTACCATGTTCGACAATTCATTTGCTGACCCGAATTATCCTTCGACTGCGTGAAAAAAAACTTAATTTGTTGTTTTTTTTCTTTTACAGTCTCTAAACCAAACTGGAGTTGCCTTCTGCACAAAAGTAACCACAGATGAAAATGCTATTACTAATGCAGTGGACATATATCGTAATCCTAGGTACATTAATTAACACTCGAACTCACTGTAGATTCTACGCAATCTCTGAAAATCTAACAATTGTTTTACACTGTTTTCTTGGCAGTGGTGCAACGAGGGTTATGGCAGCAAACAACGATGCTCAAGTCAGGGTTCTGGATGCAGCAAATTTCGCTTGCATAAACCGTTTCACATTCCCGTGGTCTGTTAATGTAAGTGAAACTCCCGCAGGAATAAAATAATTTTATTTGTTACCGAATATTAGTATTAAATATTAATTTAATTGCAGAATACATCAGTAAGTCCTGACGGCAAAATGGTAGCAATTCTGGGGGACAGTGCAGAGTGTTTACTCGCAGACGCACAGTCAGGAAAAGTTATGAGCAATCTAAAGGGACACCTAGACTACTCATTTGCATCTGCTTGGCACCCAGATGGCAGGATTCTAGCCACAGGGAACCAAGACACAACGTGCAGATTGTGGGATATAAGAAAACCATCGGAATCAATAGCTGTACTCAAGGGAAGGATGGGTGCAATCAGGACCATCAGATTCACATCGGACGGCCGATTCTTGGCCATGGCTGAACCCGCTGATTTCGTTCACGTGTTCGATGCAAAATCTGATTATGCTGTTGGTCAAGAGATTGATCTGTTTGGGGAAATTGCTGGAATCTCGTTCAGCCCCGATACTGAAGCGTTGTTTGTCGGAGTTTCGGACAGGACTTACGGGAGCTTGTTGGAGTTTAATCGGAGACGTTATGACCACTATCTTGAGTGTCTGTTTTAGATTCTCTGCAGTTGCATGTTTTTTGTGTGTGTGTATGTATTGCTGTTGGACTTGTTTATGGTTGAAATAGAGAGGGATGTTTCTTTCTGAAGCAGATCCTTTTATATCAGTGTTGCATGCGGCTGCTTTTTTGAAGCTGTTTTTTTTTTTAGTTAAAACCAAAAAAAAAAGAGAAAATTTTGCAGATGTAAATGTGGTTGTTTTTGTAAATTAATTAAAACAGTTGGTAAATTTGTTTATGTCACGGGAGTTTGTTTGTATGTATGTATATGTAATCAGTAACATTATTAACTAGTAAATTTTAAGCAGTTGTATTGAAACTGAAGATAAGTTATAAGTATGAAAAATTAGGTATACATCGACATCAAAGGCGACGTCGTATTCAAAATAATGAAGTGGTCCAATCAATACAATTGAAATTATATAAAACAAAAATTGTCAATCATGCATGTGGACTATATCGATTTTAGAAAAGTTGTCACATGGCGCTGCTGCATATATACATTCATTAGAGTCTTCTGGAATGCAATGGCATGAAACCAACATTTCAATGTGGGCATCACTACATCATGCTTACAACTCCACATCACAATTCAACCACTATTTTTGCAGGAAAATCAATTCTTGCAAATGGGATAGAGCAAAACAGACCTTTAAAACGAAAAAAAGAAAAAAAAAGAACATGATTTTCGGCTTGATATACGTGATTTTATGTTTACGACCATATATAGAGGGAGTGAGGTGTATCTCACCGATATAATCAATACCAGAAGAAGCTATATATGAAAACGTCGATATCGTATCCGATTATTATGAACTAACGAAGTAACAATCAACACTCGGATAAGTTAAAGTTAAGACTACGTACAAGCTAAGTGATAAAAAACGATAGTGCCCCTATCGAAGCAATGCCATTAAGTTAAGTAATCTTCCAAAGGTCCAATTCAGACCAACTCCACACAGACCACAACTACAAGTTGTGCCAGAAAGTTCCACCTAAAACATGGAATTTTCTCGAGATATATATATATATTTTCACGTAATCTTGAAAAACGACTGAAGATCACTACAAAGTGTCCCCTACTACAACTCTTATGATGTTTGACACTAACACCAATCTTTATGAGTAGAGTTATGACTCGTATAGTTGTCAATATAAGATTAAATAATCTAATGAAATTTCATTGTTTTTGTTGGACCGTGGAAGGTCCAATAATAATATTATATTTCCTGGTCGACATAGAAATTAAAATTATTGGGTCTACCAAACATCAAACAAATTCTAACTATTTAGTTAATCATGGATAATCTCCCCAACTAAACGAGACATTAGTATATAATCTTGATTATCATGACCAAAGTTTAGGATTTTAACTATGTCCACCATCCTTTTACTTTCGCAATTATAAAAGGATTATTAAAAAACTAAAAATAAACAAGACTTAAATGGCAGTTAATGATTATCATCAGCAACTTGTGGGTGCAGTGCATTAATTAATTAATTGCTCCAAAATTGGCCCTAGCTGATGGGAAAGGTTACGCCTTGCTTAACTCGCTAATTGTTATTCTAATCAAATTACTCCATAACATAAATTAGATTCAATGAATTGTTATGATATTGATATCTGAACCAATATTTTATTATTTTATTAAATCTTGTATCGTACCATATAATACAATACAATATTACAGCATGTAATAGTATTTATTTATTTTTACAACACGCATGACATGCAAATTAAAGTAAATGTCCTTTCAAATTTCAATACAATTCTTTTTCTTTTGAATTTTGATGTAGGGGGCTGGCTAAATCTAATTGTCAATTCGAGCAAATAGTGGTAGTTGGCGTGCATTAATTGGGCCAGATTGTAATAATTTATTTATTTTTCTATTTTTTCTTATTTTAAAATTAAAAAAATCCGTGAAATTATATATTTATAATTTTTTTTGTATATATAATTAAAAAAAAACAAGGGATGTAAGTTCACACACGAGGCACCTTTAGGAATCTCTAGGTAAAGACTAAAGACTAAAATTGAATTTTATAGGAGAAGAATATTCCTCGTCTCTTGAAAAAGAAAAATAGTTAGAAAATAAATATGGCAATTAAAGTAAATAAAGCACTTGAACATTGAAATTGCAGTACCCTTTTGATTTGGGTTTTTGGTCATTTGACAAATTAGACCGGATTCAGTAACTTTACATGTGATATCCACGTGTTCGGCGCATGCGCTTCGCCGTAAATTCCGCGGTGACCAAACTACAGTCTGACTGACGGAGCTAATTGCCGTTACCATTCCGTCAGCACCAACAACGGCCGCATCTTTAGGCATAAAAATATGAGAATATATAATTACCATATTCCTTTTCTTTTGGACATATATATATATATATATATAATTAATTCGAGCAAAATGTAGAAATTATTCGAATGCCCTAGACTAATTACCTTTTTTCTTTTGTAATGGAAAAGGAAATGTGAAACCTATATTAATTAAATATATTTCAAATTGCTCTGAATTAAAAAAAAAAAAAAAAAGGAAAAAGAATATTTCAAATTCTTCCTTTTCGGAATTGAAAAAAAAGGAGTAGCAAAACGACAAAGGAAGCAACGTGAAACGGTAACTGGTGAGTGGTGGGTGTGAACGCGTAGTCGTCACATTTTAATTTAGTCAACAATGACAAGCAATCCTTTACAGACACCTGCCCTTGAAGCAACCGTCACCTGTCCGTCACCCTAACACGTGTCGCCACTCCATTAGCTGAGTACACCCATCTGACGAAACCCTACGCAATACGAGACCGAGTAAACCGGCAAGGTGAAATAAATATCGAATTACCGGGTCGGGTCGAGAAATGCAATCCAATGGGCTTTACACAGTCCACACGTACTATATAATGGGGGCAGATTGCACTCTTCAGAAACCCAGAGAAAAAAAAAAAAAAAAGTGAGGACCGAGAGATAATTCACAACTTCTTCCTTCTCACTTGCACACACATCACTTAATTTCTTCTGAAGGGCTTTTATTTTTCTTTTTTTTTGCAAATCCCCCCCTCTAATTCATCCCCGCTTCTGTTGATCCCTTTCTGTTAATCATCTGTTTATTTCATGTTTTTCTGAAATTTTTAGGTTTGTTTTTTGTGTTTATATAGATCTTAAAGCAAACTTAAAACCAGGATTTCAAGAAACCCAGGTGTTTTCAGAACGAGATCTCCTTTTTAATTGATCTTGTTTTATTTATTTATTATTATTTTTTTTAATTTGGCGAAACCTGTTCTTTAATTTTACTAAGAAACAGGAAATAGCAAAAATGGCGGCTACACTGGATTTTTGGAGTAGCAGCGAACCAGTAGTTGTAGATCCCTTCAATGGCGGTGAGCTGATGGAAGCACTTGGACCTTTTATGAAAAGGGCTTCTTCCACACCCCTTTCTTCTTCTTCCACTCCTTCTCTCTCTTCTTTTCCTTCTCCCTCTGACCACTATTTCTCTCCTTCCACCCCCTCCAGTTATTTTCCCTACAATTCTTTCAATTCCTTCACTCAATTTGAACAGCCCATTATGTATCAGGCCTCAGCCCATGATTATTTAAATGGGCCGGCCCATCAACCAATGCAAACCCAGATCCATGATATCCAGACCCAGATTATCTCGGGCCCAACCCAGGCCCGGTATCCACCGACGCAGAACACTTCTCACTTCCTCGGGCCGAGGCCTGTTCCGATGAAGCAAGTGGGCTCGCCTCCGAAGCCCACGAAGCTTTACCGGGGAGTTAGGCAGCGGCACTGGGGCAAGTGGGTGGCGGAGATCCGCCTGCCGAAGAACCGCACCCGCCTCTGGCTCGGCACCTTCGACACGGCGGAGGAGGCCGCTCTGGCCTACGACAAGGCGGCGCACAAGCTGAGGGGAGACTTCGCCAGGCTGAACTTCCCGCACCTCCGCCACAGTGGGTCCCACATCGGCGGTGATTTCGGGGAGTACAAGCCCCTCCACGCCAGCGTGGACGCCAAGTTGCAGGTCATTTGCGAGACTCTCGCGCAGGGCAAGAGCATCGACGCGAACGTTATCAAGAAATCTCGGTCCAAAAAATCTTCTGCGGCCGCCGCCGTAGCCGCGGCGGCGTCCGCGGAGGAGGAGAAAAGCTGTAAAATATCCGGATCCGGAACCGAGAGTGACGGGTCGGGTGTATCGTCCCCTGTTTCGGATCTGACGTTCATTGAATTTACAGAAGAGGAGCAGCCGGGTTGGGAAATCGGATCTTTGCCGAAGTATCCATCTTATGAGATTGATTGGGATGCATTGTAGTTTCTTCAAGTTTAGGTCTTTAGATCTTCAGCTTCTGCGATGGAATTTTTGACATTTGCAGAGCTCTCTTTGTTTTTATTATTTTTTAGTGTAGTATTTTGCTTCATTTAAGATTAGGTTTTTAAGTATGATTAGTTGTTAATCATGTAAATCTTCCTATCTGGCTTAAGCTAATTTTTACATGGCTTTTGTCCAAGAGGGATTGATTAACCCCCTTTTGTAATTGTTTCTTGTTTATATCCTATTATTATTTATGTTTATTAATTTTCAGTTCTATATTTCTATTGAATGTTTATTTAAGCCTGTTACAGAAGTTTGATTAAGAAGCTCTGCAACTAATTACTTCAATTTAAGTTTCTTTATTTATGTTGTTCTGTGTAGAGTTTAATCAATTCCCTTTACAAATTGACATCAATTGTTAATGTTAAATGTTTACGTCGGTAAATTATTGGGTAAATTACAACCACCTCCCTGACGTAAATTATAATTATGAACAACCCCTTTTTTTTTTTGAAAAATTACTGTCAGCCCCTTGAAGTTTTTAAAATTTCTTATATCTACCACTATAAAAGGGTGTTAATGTAAGAAATCTACAAATTACAAAGGGTGGATGTAATTATCAACAAATGAGGGGTTGCTCGTAATTAGACGTTGCCTCAGGAGGGTGATTGTAATTTAATCTAAATTCATTTTTTTTTTTGTGTAAACAGGAGGTAGGGAAGAGGGAACTCTAAATTCATCTCGGCTAACATTTCACTAAATCTACTATCAGGCCCAATAATTTTAATTTTATATTAGGCTTTAACATAATTTATCTCAATTATTGAGCTTAAAGACCCAATAAGTTTCTATATTTTGATAATATCTGGGCTACAACAAGGTCCAATAAATTCGGTTTGACCCAAATTTCTCTCTTTAAAAGCCCAATAATATTCGAAATTAAATCTACTAGAATAATATTCGAAGGTTCAATTTAAATATTATAATATTTGTTCCTTCTACCATTAAATATTCCACCGCCAATAACGTTATTTTTTGGAACATTTTTTTTAATTACAATTTTCAAAATCCTAAGTTCCATTTTTTTTGGGTAAATAATTGTAGTTAGTTTTTTAATTACAAAAATATTACTAAAATAAAATCAGAACAATGTTAATTCTAATTCAATCCGTCCGATTTTCACACCCAATTGCTCCGGTTACGGAATATCCGAAAAACAAAATCTTGAAAAATAGGATTATCTATATAATATATAAAAGTTGAATTGCATAGCTAATTGATTGACATTTGGCAATTACAATTGATGACATGTAATCAATTTCATCCCAAGTGGCGAATTGATTGGTGGAAATAAATCATCAAAAAACATGTCATCATTTTCCAAAATTAGAGGTAATTAAATATATTTAATTATTTTATTAATATATTTATATCCTACCATTTATAAAATGCTCTAAATATATCAACTTTCTGAGAAACCCTAAATAAATTTATTTTTTTTATTTCATTTTATAATTAATTTAATTTGAATTTAGTCAAATTCGATTTAAAATCTTCCCTTATTATAATTGCATGATTGATGGCGTTACGAATTTTTTTAATTTTAATTCATAAAATTGGATTTATATTAAAAAAAATATTGCAGAATAAATTATTTGATATTATACATTTTACATGAGCATGACAAGAGAATATGTATTTTTTTTACTAATTTAATATTATATATTAATATTATCTGAAAAAAGAAAGATACATGTTGAAT